CCAAATAAATTAACTTTCTCAGCTCAGTTGACTGGTTTGGTTAGGAGAGCAGTTGGCACACAAAAAAATTATTGGTGCTTTTATTTATACTTTATATAATGTTTTTAATGATTGCACAATATTGTTTTCATTATTGTTTGGATTTGGATTGGCTCTATGGGAGATGTGATGATGCTGATGAAATTTTTGTTTCTTTTTTTTTTAAAAGTGACTGAAGTTCTGATGGGACTAAAACCCTGTCACACCTTGACACTGGCTACGGAAAGTATTTCTTAACCTATCAAGAATACCAGCAATCTGTTTTCACTCTACCCCAAAGCACTTAAATCACATTAGAACTCTAAAATGTAATAAGAACCACATCAATATCTTGTAATCTCTAAATGTCAGATTAAAATATGAGTGGAGAATGGTGTAGTAAGTCAATGGAAGCTTTTAGAGAACTGACATTTCCCCCTAGGTCCGTATACATGTTAGAGATGGTATCAGCACAGAATTCAGCTTTGGGTGAGACTAGGAATTAATTCAAATTAATGAATCCTAATTGAGTGCTTTCTGTTTTCAAGTCCCCTTGCTGAAAGCAATGAAAAGTTAAAACATAAAGCTAAAACTTGGAAACAACTCAGAGGTACTCCAGTGGGTGAATGGTTAAATAAACCATAGCCGATCCATACTGTGATATTACTCAGCAATAAAAAGGAACAAACATACAGGTTAACAATTTGGATGGATCTCAAAGGCATTGCTTTGGGAGAAAAAGCCAACATCAAAAGGTCACATATTGCATGATTCCATTTATACAACAATATAGAGATGGAGAACAGATTAGTGGTTGCCAGGGGTTAGGTTCAAGGAGGGATGGGGGGTGATGGGAGTGGTTGTTGACTATAAATGGATAGCATGAGGGAAATTTTTGTGGTAATGGACAGTTCTATGTCTTAATTGCAATAGTGGTTACACAGCCTACACATAAGATTACACTGAACTGTACACACCCACACACACGCTCGCACGCACACGTGCACACGAGTGCATATAAAACTGGTGAAGTCTGAATAGACTCTGGATTGTATCAAGGTCAGTTTCATGGCTTTGAGAGTATGCTATAGTTATATAAGATATTACCTTTGGGGGAAACAGTGAAGAGTACGTGGCACCTCTCTATACTATTTTTGCAATTTCCCATCAATCTATATCATTTCAAAATAAAAAGTTTTTAAAAAGTTAAAAGATATGAAAGACGTCACTCCTGTCCTCTTCCTAAAATTTATTAGAAGGATAGATTTACACAAAACTCTTCCATGAGATAATCCTGGAACATAACAAAAAAGATTTATTAAGAGGCACTATTAATTTTGGAGCATGAGGTTCAGGAAAAACTTTTCAGATATGGTGGTGCTTTGGCCAGACCTTGGAAGATGTGGGTAAGCTTCCCATGGGAGGAGAATGGGGAAGCGGTTGGAGCTGAGCAAGGCCCTTGATGGTCAAACATCTTCCTAGCTTCTGGATTAATGAGCCTCAGAAAGCCACTATTTTAGTCTGGTTTCACCTCTCTGAGACTGATTACGCTTCCTGAAAGAAATTCACCAAAGAATTTACATTTGACATGAATTTGCATTGATTGAAATTAATGTTATCACTTACCTGTTCCATTAAAAAATATCAATGAGATGTTTAAGCTTGGGAAACTATAGTAATATAATGAGCCTGTTACGGGGGTTGTGAGCATGAGTTTCTTGCTTCGCCTAAATGCAAGGTTAAGACAAAAAGGAGAACCGTTGCCAAAATTTCCATAAATTTGTATTACAAAGTCTGTAGCCAAATTCCTCATCCGTGGTGGATTGCTAGACTCTGTGCCTACTTGTAAGGATACTGATATTTCGGATAAAATAACGAAAATGTGTTATGATTGACTTGCCTGGAAATCTTACACTCATCTCAATTTTTTACCAGCTTTATTGAGATACAGTTGACATTTAACATTGTGTAAGTTTGAGGTATGCATTGGGATGATTTGATACGCCTATATATTGTGAAACGTTTACCACAAATAAGGTTAGCTAACACATCCCTCACCTCACGCAATTACCATTTTGTTGCTACAGCGAGAACATTAAAGCTCTGCTCTCATATCAACTTTCAAGTGCGCAACACAGTGTTGTTAACGATAGTCACCGTCCATGCTGTACATTAGATCCTCAGAACTTGTTCATCTTATAATTGAAAGTTTGTACCCTTTGATCAACATCTCCCCATTCCTGCCACCCCTCAGCCCCTGGCAACCACCATTCTACTCTCTGTTTCTACGGGTTTGATGTTTTTAGATTTCACACATAAGTGAGGTCATACAGTATTTGTCTTTCTCAGTCTGACTTATTTCACTTAGTATAGTGTCCTCAAGGTCCATCCATGTCGTCACAAATGGAAGGATTTCCAAAAAGGCTGTATATTATTCCATTGTATATACATATATGCACATATATGTATGTATGTGTGTGTGTATATATGCATACATACATATATCACGTTCTCATTACCTAAGTGTCATAGTCAATAGACACTTAGGTTGTTTCAGGTCTTGGCTATTGCAAAGAATGCTGCAATGAACGTGAGTGTACAGATATTCCTTCAAGGTAGTGATTTCATTTTCTTTGCATACTTACCCAGAAGTAGGATTGCTAGATCATATGGTACTTCTATCCACTCATCTCAGTTTGAAAGTTAGAGTTTGCAAAACAAAAAATTTAAAAATAAAAAACCATTTTCCCGTCTCCTGCCTTAATTTTCCAAGTAATTTTAGTCTAGAGTAATGCAAGTATGATCTCTATGGTGTTCCATATACCATTTGAGCCCAGTTGTACAAGTATATGCTGCAGTGTGGGTTTTGGGATGTCAGACTTCCTGGGTTAAAACCATGACTCCTTCACTTACACAACCTTAGGCAAATTGACTTTTATGCCTCAGTTTTCTTTGTGTCTCAGTTTTCTCATCTGTAAAGACGACCATACCATAGTACTATCTCATGGGGTTATAAGTTTTAAAAGAGATATTTTAGGTAGAACTCTTAACCAAGAGTAAACTCTCACTCTGACCTATAATCGTCAATATACTTGCTATCATATGCAGAGCTAAAGTATAAAGTATGTAAAAAAGCAGTAGTATTGGTAAGAGTGGGGCATTCTTCTATATTTCTCAGCTTATTGATTTAAAGTAGAAAAGCTTAAATTTAAAAAAAAATTTTATGCAAATATATATAAGAGGAAAAATGCACACATTATAAATATAAAGCTTAATAATTTTTTTTTGTGGTGAGAACATTTAACATGAAATTTACCCTCCTAACATGTTTTTTAAGTACACAATACAGTATTCTTACCCATAGGCACAATGTACAGCGGCTCTCTACACTTATTCATATGGCAAACTGCAGCTTTATACCTGTGATTAATAACTCCCCATTGTCCCCTACCCCCAGCTCCTGGCAATCACCATTCTGGTCCCAGCATCTATGAGTTTAACTATTTTAGCTACCTCATGTATGTGGAATCATGCAGTAGCTGTCTTTCTGTGACCGCCTTATTTCACTTAGCATAAAGTCCTCATGCTTCATCGATGTTATTGAATATGACAGGATATCCTTCTTTTTGAAAGCTGAATAAAATTCCATTGTGAGATATCTATATCTACATCTATATCTATGTCTATATCTATGTTTATATCTATCTATCAATCACATTTTTTAATCCTTCCATCTGTCGATGGACATTTAGTTTGCTTCTCTACATTGGCTATTGTGAATAGTGCTGCATTGAACGTGAGAGTACTGATACCTCTTTGATATCCTGATTTCATTTCTTCTGGATAAATGCCCAGAAGTGGGATTGCTGGATTATAAAGTAGTTCTATCTTTAACTTTCCGAGGAACCTCCATACTGCTTTCTATAGAGACTGCACCATTTTATATTCCCACTAACAATGTACAAGGGTTCCAATTTCTCCACTTCTTTGTCAACACTAGTTGTCTTTTGTTTTAATGGTAATAGCCACCCTAACAGCTATGATTTGCGATTTCATGTCAACCAACGAAGTTAAAAAGTATTTTCATCCAAAATTAAAATTCTACATGCTCTTTGAACCAGAATTAACTGGTTCAAAGATAATTTATCCTCTAGGTATAAATGATATTTGTATAAAGTATAAACTGATGTCTGTACAATATTTTCTACAACACTGTGTGTAATTACAAAAAATCCTAATTCATCTTAATCTCTGTTAATAAGGAATTTCCATGTAACCTTTAATAGTGTTCCATATGAACTGATGGGGAATGATCTCCAAGATATACTAAGCGATCAAAGCAAGACGTGGAAAAGTATGAATAGTACGGTACATATAGGAGAAAAAACTAAATGGGTATCTGTGGACCCATTAGAATATGCATGGCATAGTCTGTAGAAGGATACACAAAATATTGGTAAGAGTTATGTGTCTTTGAAGTGGAGAGTGTATGACAAGAGTTGGGAGAAAGAGGAAGACTTACTTTTTATTGTATTCCCTATTTTTGTCTTTTGAATTTTATGCCTATATATGGTAGAATGGAGTATCTTCCCCAGTTCTGCACTCCTGTATAATAGCATTGTATATCTATCCACACCCTCTGCCACGTGGTTTGCAGCTTCACACTGCTGGTGAAGCAGACTATTCTACCCCACTGAGGTAAGGCTTGGTCATGTGATCTGAATTAGCCAAAGGCATGTGAACAAGCAGAGGTTCAAATATGCTAGTGTGATCTAGCTAGCCCTTTTGTGCTCTTGGCATCTGTCATGCAAAGAACATAAACCCCGAGAGCTGCTAGTTCCAGAATGAAGAGAAGATGTAGAGCAGACCTGGACCCAACCCACAGCTTTGAGCCAAGCCCAGGTGATTTCAGTGTAAAATAGAGCCACACCAGCCAGACTGTGGACTTGTGAGCATAAAAAAATAAACTTTTGCTGTTGTAAGCCACTGAGTTGTTTATTACAAAGCATTGTTGTAGCAGTAGTTGAATAAGACAAATCCCATAGGAGCTCTCTTAACTGACCCCCACTTAACCAGATTCTTACATTAACCAATGCCTTCTTTTCTCTCTGTAAACATATCAACCGCTGTCCAATGCCTCTTAAATGTTCATAACTAGTAGGCTAATCTATTACAGCCACATCCTTCCACTCCTTCCAGTTGAGTCATATGTTTACTAAGAGTTAGTTTTCCCCCTAGCTTGTAACAGTAAAACAAACTCCTGGAATACTTTAATTTGGTTATTTTTCCATTCTGCTAATTTTTTCATGCTTGATGTGGGTCAGGCTTGTTTCATAGCTTGTCTATAGATGACCATATGACTATTGCCCTAATTGTGATTTCAAGAAAGCCACAAGATCACAGCCACCCAAAACATATTGCCAAATGACTCCCTTGACAAGGTTTATCTAGGCCAGCACTCCTATGCTTATATTCAATCCTTTGAAAAAGGGGATGGGGAGTGAGTATCATTTGCATGAAACCACTAGATATATTTGAAATAAGAAAGAGAAAGGCCTCTTTTAACTCCTCCCTGAAGTGTACAGTTAGCAGAGAAGAGTTCACTAGGGCTTAGATTTAAAAATAGACCTAGCCCTGACTGAGGGGAAGATGCTAAGATTTCAGATGCGGACATTTCCGAAAGAGCAGCACAATACAAACACTTCCTAGCTGGGATGCTGTGATAAGGGAACACCTCAGCGACAGCAACAAGGTGAAGGATGCTGGAGTAGACCTCACTGCTGATTAGTGTTTTGCCCAAAGCCTCTTATGGGCTTGGAAGCAACTTTTAACTGAGGAGTAGATGTATTGCAGTCAGGGAAATGACTTCATCAGATCTATGATTTTACTGTACACCCGTTGTGCAGCATCGAGGCCCCAGATGAAATCAAAGTGGTTCCAATCTGGCAATAGGTTGAAGTAATGGAGATTCCTGATTTGGGGGAGTACCCTGGTTACATCCTGGGGTGTTACAAGGACATCACTTCCACCAACCCAAATAGCAGTAGGCACTTTCATGGCAGTCAGGTCATATAGTGGGGGACGACTCTATGGAAGAGAGAGAAAGTACATTCATGAGAGGAAGCTCCTCAGAGAAACAACTGACTTCAAATAAATAGAGACTACTGAATATTTACTATGACCACAGGAAGAAAGCATGCAATGGGCTCTATATTCAAGGAGTGTGAAGGAACAAGGCAAGATGGCTAAATAAACTTTTGTAAACAAAGTAGGGTATATTCAATGCTGTAAAACATTTGTCTTCTTTGAAGACAAAGAAGAAATTATTTCCAACTGGGGCTTCATATAAAGAGCAGTCATTTGAAATGACTCTTGAGGAATGGTTGGATTTTACAGACAAGGATGTAGGTGGCAGGCCTTTCCAGCAGGCAGGAATAGCATGTATGCCATGGTCAGGAATGGCAAGCTGTCCAGTGTACTCAGAAAAGAAAATATGTAAGGGAATACTGTAGGGTATACGATTGGAGACAGTCAAGGTCTAAATGAAAGGCTGAAGCAGCTGGGCATCTTTCAGAAGTTTTGAAGACAAGGCAAGGTCATTTCTCAGAGCTCTGTCTTAGCATGATTGCATAGGCATCAGTTTGTGGGATGACTTGAAGAAGAAATAGGTTGGAAATGGGTCCTGAACAAAATCTAGACAAGCAGTTTGGACGACCCACATAAGGGGGTAACTGAAGCCATAGGGATGGCTAAGTTCTCCAAAGACAAAGGGGAGAGAGATTTGAAGAATTTTGGAGGAATTCTGACAATTTGAGAGCAGTGGGGGACAGACAGTAGCCAGTCAGAGGACAAAGGGAGCAATCAAAAGGGGAAGGAAAAAAATCAGAGATGGTTATATGGTTATATTACGGAAGTCCAAATCAGGGGGGTGAGTTGCAAGGAGACTGTGGTAACTAACACAAGATATAGGTGAGAATAGGCAATTATATTTGGCAATTAAAAGCCACAAGCAACTTTAAATAGAGTAGCTATAATAAGAAGATGAAGACCAAAACTACATTTTCCAGGGTTCAGGAGTGAGTGGAGAAGTGGAGATACTTCTCCACTTCCCTTTTAAATATTAAAAAATGTTGATAAAAACAGAGTGATGGTAGGATGACTTGATAGAATTGATGGGTTGAGGGAAGGTTTTTTATTTGTTTTTCATAAGGGATAGGAGTTCATTTAAGATAATAAGAGAAGCCAGTAAGAAGATATGAGAAGAGATGGGGTCGAGGGCACAAGATCAGGATAACTTGCATAATAAGAGGACCTTCATTTTCTGAGAGTGAAAGGAAGGAGAGAATCAAGAAGACAGAGATTTTAAGGTGGATTAGAGGGAAGTTAACAAATTTCATTCGTGCAAGAAGTAAGTATTAAGGGGCCAGTAAGTCAGGTGAGACAATACTGGTGAACAAAAGAGAAGGAAATTCCTACTGTCATGAGGCTTACATGGGTTAATCCTCTTATTCTTAAAAAAACATAGAGTGGACACAGAGATTGTGCTGGGAACTTAAGGATAAGACAAACTGTTGATACTTCTGAATGTAATGAAAATTGACTTCCAATGATCTAAAATTACAAACAAATAAAACAGGATTGGCCTGGAGTAGGGTAGGACCAGCTAGCTAACTGTGTGCAAATTCTGAGGACATTTACACTCTCAATACTTGTCATCATGTTGTACACTTCAATCTTAAATATTTTTTGGTCAGTTTTACCTCAATAAAGCTGAACTTGACAATAATGGTCTTACGTGTGTGTGTGTGTGTTTTGTTTTATTTTCTTGTAAATGTAAACAATATGTAACATGCTCATTACAATAATGAAAAAAGACAAATGTATGTAAAATCCAAAATGAGAGCCTCCTTTTCTCTTTCATGTCTAACCACTTCACTCTTCCTTTCTTCCCCTTTTTGAAAGTTATCACTTTAACATTTGCTGTTTATTTTCTGGCCTTTTTCTAAGCATTTGCAAATATATGCATTTGTAAATATACATTGTCTGAGGAGCAGGAAAAAACCTTTGCGGGTAATGAAAATATTCAATATCTTGCTTGTGATGTGGCTACATGAATGAATATATTTTTCAAAACTCACTGAGTTAGACACATAAAATTAGTGAATTTTACCGTATGTAAATCACACCTTAAGCTGATTAAAAATAATAATAAAATTATATATAGCTCTCTTTGTCTTAAGGCCTAGTAGAATCATTTCTCTAATAATTCAATCCATTACTGAGAAATTGGTCTGATTGACTGATTTGATGTTCAGAAACAATTTCATCAATCTATGTTTGCACTAATAGCCTTAAATATGTCAGTCTGGGAAAACATCAGAAAAATGTGCTTAGTTCATACTGAGAAGCCCAGCCCCTGACTTAGAGAAAGGAAGGTGGCAACAGGATTGATTAAAAGTATAGGAAGGCTAAATGAGTCTATAAATTTTGGTGTATAAAGTTAGAGGGAAAAAGTTGCCTTAAGATTCAACACTGCATGGGTGGAAAATTCTCTTAACTTTTACGTGTAATCCTAATTTTCTTCTGTTGCTATCAAGAAGCGTGTATTCATTTACTCTGTAAATTTTTATAGATTTTTATAAAGCAATGTTCATTATTATGCAGCCATTAAAAATAATGTTAAAAAAACCCCTCAGTAACATTGGTTACGTTTTGCTATGACTGTAAATAGAAAAGCAAGATTGAAAGTTGTGGAAAAGCAGTGATGTCGAGATTGGAATAAATGTAATAAAATATTGATACATCTACTATAATTATCTCTGGGTGGAGGGATTATAAATGACTTAACTCCCTTAGTATATAATTCTTTTATTTCTAGATTTTCTGAAATGAATACATATTAAAACTAGACTTGAAAAAAAAATCTATCAACCAATGTGAATGAGGCCAATTGTCAGCTAGGATTCTTTTTACTCTCAAATAATTTATCATTGGAAGTTTTCAAATCCACCCTCCTGGGGTCACTCTGAATAGCTCACCTGATTGTAATGATGCATGTTCTCTGCTTCACTTCCCCAGTCATAAGCTCTGAATTCATCAGATCCGTAAAGCTGAATTAAATGTTTTATAGAAAAGTAATATTCACAGTAAGAATCATGATTGTTAACAGCAAACCTTAGAAAAGCACTGTACGCTGGGAAGAAAATAAGGCTTCGGGATGAGCAGAAAGATATAAATAAATTTTACCAGTATGAAAAACAAGGTCGACAGAAAGTGATGCAATGATCTCCTTGGTTTGAAGGAAAAGCTAGTGGAAAACCAAGCCTCATTAAAGGGAAATCAAATCTCAGGTATTTCTCTCTCTGGGGAAGGCTCAGTTCTGAGGCTCTCCCAGTTTACCTTTTGTTTCAGCTCAGGGCCTATTTTACAAGCTCTGATTTAAGATGGGGTTCATTTATGTCACCTACTTGGTCTGCCCCATCCCTTGTTCTTTCTCTTAAAATCCAGGGAAATCAAACCATAAAGAGTGTGACAAGGGCAAAAAGGAAGACAGCTGCTAAGTTTCTTAGAACAGACATGCTAACTCTGTCCTTTCATATATAAAGAAAATTAAGGGAATAGTTTTCCATGACAAAGACCCTACCTGTTTTATATGCAGGATGTTCTGTATTGACGATCCAGTGGGAGCATGGGACATATACACATCCATTCGGCTCTGAAGGAAAAAGGACACTTATTACAGCATTAACCACCCAATGAAAAAACTATGCCTTTCAGAAGCAGATCATAATTATGCTAAGAACTAATAAACAAATATTGCGGTTTTGAAAGTGGCAAGGAAGAATCATCTAGATAATTATAAATTCATGTCAGGCACTTGAATGTGGGTGAACCATGGGCTGACTGGTGGCATGGGCTGCTTGAGAGCAAACTTGCATCAGCTCTGAAGCTGTAGGATAATTTGCTTATTTTGAGGCAGAAGCAACAATGGACATCACGGAGCAAAGCAACCAAGAAAGGTACTCTGTGCGCATGTGTGTGGGGGGGGCTGGGGTGTGTGTGTGTACAGATGTGATGATCACAGATCAATAGATCAAAAATCCTGGAGTTCAGGACCTAACTTTGTTAATGATAAGCTTTGTGACTTTGGGCAAGTTATTTATCATCTCTGAGTTTCTGTATTTTCATCTATTAAATGGACATGCTAAAAATCATACTACAGTTTGCTGTGCTCTTGTAAGGATAAAATAAAATACTACAAAAAAAAAGCTAAAAATCAATCACTTCCATGTGTACTGTACTTTAGTCTTCATAAATATAATAGAGATGAAAATTGTAGACATAAAATAGTACTGATAATTGTACGTCTTAGAATATAATGGAACAAATCAAGGAAACGATTAAAAATCTTTACTTTTGAAGAAGCAGGCTTTGAACAATTGTCCCTCAAGGTTTTTGGTCTAACACAACTTATCCTCTTAAAGAATGGGGATAGGGTGGCTGGCCAAGAAAAGCTATTTTGGAACTAGCTTCACTGTAACAGTCTCACTGGCTGCCATTTGGAATATGACAGAGATAACTACTCAACCACACTGGTCTGTAGTCTGAACTCCTCGTCCTCCTTGAATTCTCAGCAACAGGAATCAAGGAGTTGATGAAACAGGACTTCTGCTCTTTCATAGGAAAGGGATTACACTCCATTCCATTCTGTCTTTATGTTCCAAGTTAAATGATGAATTTTATTTGAGGTTAAATTCACCCAACAAGTGAAGGCATACATGGAATAAATTTAATGCTTGTATGTACTTCTTTTCTAGGATTTTATTTTATTTTTTAATGCACTGTGTTGTACTGAAATAAAATCAAGTTGACTGTAGTAAGTGGTAGCTGATTGTGAACACGTGAAACCACTACCTAGTGTGGAACAACTATTTTCTTAAATTTGACCAGGTATGAAAAGATGAAGCTGCCTATTGTCTTCCTCAGTCTTCACATTCATGGTCCATTGAATATCTAATCTTCTATGCATAATCTCTGACCTTAAGTTTAGAATACCAGATTAATTTATGTAGTATAATAGATACATCAAAATCAATCAAAGAAAAGCTGGAATTTCTAAAAGCATAGAATGGCCCCAGAATCATTATACATACCATGTTCACATTTTTCATGTTGAATCCGGCCCATAAAGACATAAATTCAATACATATCACCCATAATATTTTATTGTTGCAGATTTTGGTAGAAGATGACTTCCCTGTTTTATCTTCTAAAAAGAAACCTTTGGTACCAAAAATCCTCTGTAAAAATAAAAAATAATTATTCTTTTGAGGACCATTTTCAGACTTCTTGACATTCCCTTCATCCCAGGAATGAGAATTCTCGGGGCTCTACTTATATTTTTATATTTATTTGCTGTTTTGGTCAAGGAGACCAAGTCATTCAGGAAAAGTGACTATTTATGAATCGGTCTCCACCCAGCTAGTATCATCAAACATAATTTACAAGGAGACTGCAGTAAGGACCCTCAACCTCAAATTAGCTAATTTCTCCACAGTGAAGCTCTCCCACATTCTGTCCAATCAGCGATTGCCTATATTTCTCATTAAATGGCAAGAAAGGTAAAGCAGTTTCTCCTTAAGGTCAAATATTGCCTTGAATAGGAAGGAAAAGAAGGGTTTTTCCCTACTACCCGTGTACACATCATGTTTCTGGTAGTGTTCCAGAGTAGCCAGCTTTTATGCTGAAAGGTAGAGGATGGAGTACTGAAGGGAGGGTGCCACTGGACAGAAAAAAAAATGATGTCTTGGGAGGCAGCATAGTTAAAACTTCTAGGGCTTTTGGAAAAGCAAGCTTGGGTGGGCATCTCTGATGGGAGGACTGGAGCTTCTAGGGGCAATGGATATTATGAAATGGTGGGTGGGCCAGAGAATGGGACTTAAAGTGGCGGGAAGTTTGACAGTAGAGGATAAGAAACTGAGATAAGTCAGGGACAATATGTGCCTCAGACCCGACCTATGTAGGAAAAGCCACACATGCAAAACTGGTGTATTTAGAAATAGATGTGTCTATCTCTGAATTTAATTCAACTAGTTTGTCTGCTCAACTCTGCCCAAATGTAGTAAACATCCAAAACTAACTGATGTCAGCACACTTTAAAATAGAACTATCAATGACAAAAAAGGGAAGTTATGTCACTTGAGCTTACTAAACAATACCAAAAAACTACTATCAAAGCAATCATTAGGCCTCATGGAAGTTCTTCCTTGTGTTAGCTCACAAATACTTTTTTTCCCATTTCTACCTCTTCACCTCAGACCAGGACCTCACTATATATATGAGTTATTGTGATACCCTAATTGGTCTCCTTGACTTCATTTTGGTCAAAATTTATTCTATCCTTCTCTCCAAATTTGAGGGGCAATCTTGATAAAATACTGTGTTCATTGTGGCAATGACCTTTTTAGAGAAACAAAAAGCAAACAGAAAAAAACTTTCAAAGAATAAAATCCCAAACTCACAATTGACCATCAAACTACTTTTCCAACCATTGGAAAATAACCAATAAATACTTGAATGAATAATTCAGCTGTAAGACATTTACTCTTTGGAATCTTAGCTTTAGTAAATTAGAGCAAGCTCCCATATGGGAAGGGTTATATTATTCAGGCTTTTCTAACATCAAAGTCAGGGATATCAGTGATCCCATGTGACTTGGAAAATGTCTTCCATTTGGGCACTGTGAATTCATTGACATGCCCAGGGGAATAAGAATGGAACAAGGAAACTTGTGAGTAGATCTTAAACTGACACGGCAGTCAGCTCAGTTAGAAATTCTGATTTATACTCAGGTCTGTTAATAACTGAGTATAGTGAATTGCATATGGGAGCTGTAGACATTGTGGCATAGACAAACACACACAAGGACACATACACTCCAAGCACATGATCCCAGAGTCTGGTTTCTACAGATTTCGTCTAAATGTGCTACTTTTGTTTCATAATAGATTTTAAAATAATAAGGATCTATCATCCAAAAGGAGATCCTCATATACTTTTTGGCACAAGGAAGAGCCTACCTTGACTGAGGAACTTGAAAGTAGGAAAAAACTGGTAAAAATGCTCGTGGGGTATTTGAATGAGATCACAGGACTCAAGGCAAAATTCATTTTGATTCTTTGTGCCAGTTCAGGCATGGTGGCAAAGGCTGCAAACCCTGAGAGAACAGGAGACAAGAAAATCTTGTAAAAATTAGAAGTATTTAGGCAATGTTTCTACTAACAAAAGTGGGACTCTGCTTTGTCATTTTTATCCTTTTACTGCACTCATCTTGGAGATGAATTGGGAAACTCTTCTAAGTTATCCTGCAGAGTTAATCTGCTTTCAGCCCTCTCTGCTCTCAAGTCTCCATTTTTCTCTTATTCTGGACAATTTAACTGGGTTGGGGAAAGTGAAGGATAAGTTGCTGAAGCAACTCCTGCCAAGTAAACTGGGGACACCTTCACTCCCCAAGCGTGGGGTAAGTGCTGGCAATATTGTCACTTTACCACCAACTCTGAGATGTCAGAGTGAGTCACAGAGCCTCTAGAAGTAAGCAGTTTGTGGGAGGTGAATCAATCAGCTCTCTGCACTATCGTCCAGTTATTCCACAGTTTTTCTTTCTCACAGTTGATGAGATTTCATTGCTCTCAGTGCTTCATTGGATGCCTACCAAAACCTCTGGAATCTTCCCTGCATCCGAAAGGGGACGGGATTTCCCTCAGTCCACCATGGTCCCAGTAAGGACCATATGTCTCCATTTGCTCTGACTGTTCAGGAATAGCATTGCATCCATATCTAGCGCTGTGAGGATGAGGGTGGGGGTCAGCCTCACACAGGAAAGGCTATGTGGAGGATCTCCGTGTTTGGGATCCCCGAGATACTTTCCTGGGCCCCCCTCCACTGTGTGTGTGTGTGTGTGTGTGTGTGTGTGTGTGTGTGTGTGTATACGTAGCCATAGCAGGGGTTTTTTTCTTCTGAACTTCTTGTTGAAATATTGAAACTGTCTTAGCCAGAAAAGGAACTGGCTGAGTAATTGATACAAAGACTGAAACAGGCATAATTGTTCCCCCAGAAGATGTCTAGAAATGTGTGGAGGTGAGTTTTCTGTTTTTTGTTTTTTGATTTTTTGCGGTACGCGGGCCTCTCCCTGCTGTGGCCTCTCCCGTTGCGGAGCGCAGGCTCAGCGGCCATGGCTCACGGGCCCAGCCGCTCCACGGCATGTGGGATCTTCCCAGACCGGGGCACGAACCCGTGTTCCCTGCATCGGCAGGCGGACTCTCAACCACTGGGCCACCAGGGAAGCCCTGGAGGTGAGTTTTTGATGGTCATACTGACTGGGGAGCCCAACAGTTATTTAAGGGGCTAGGACCTGGCTTGTTAAATGTCCTATGAAGAGTGGGTCCTTCCCACATAACAAAAATGTCTCTGCTCAAAAGGCAAACGGTGCTCACTGAAAAATGTCATGCCCTAAATGCAACGCAGGGCCCTAATGATGAAATTTACTGTTTTCTCTGCTAATCAGATATGAGAGCATATCTAAGTCCTCTCCACTTTTCTAAACGCCACTCAAGTCGTCCTTCTCCCTGCAGTTTCTCCACAGTGCCCAAGCACCCTGTCGGTGAAGGCAAAGTGACTTGATTTGAATTAATGTGCCACCTCTTATGTATTAAGAGACCTTGAAAGAGCCACTTAACTTCTTTGAACTTCTGCTTCCTTTTCTATGAGATGGAAATAATAATTGTAGGATTTTTCTGAAGCTTAGACAGAGAGATTGTAGGAAAGGTCCTGAACAGAGGACCCTAAACATAGTAAAGGCTCCTAAGTGTTAGCTATTATGGTGTAATTATTTTCCTGTTAGTGACAGTTTTTTGGGGGGTGGGGTCCCCTTATTAGTTCTTTGGTCCTCTTTTAGTGTATTTGCTCTCATGTTCACTGCCTAGTCTAAATTTGTAAGCTGCCTATCAGTACAAAGCGCTGGTAAACACCGATTTGCTCTTGATGATAATGGTGATAATGAGACTACTGTAGGAATATTTATTGTCTCTTGCACAGTTTCACCCAAACTAAAATACTGCATTTTCATATAACCCAGTCTCTTAAAACTGGAAACTTTAGTGGAAGATGACTAACAAATTTATATTTTTAATAGTATGGGTTCCTTTAAATTTTTATGTGGAGCTAGACTATTGATTTCTTAGAAAAAAATCTAGGAACCACACATTCAAAGTACATTTCCTGGACTTTAAAAAACATCTATATAGTGCTTACAATTAATTGCTACTCCATAAATATTAAATCATACACTAAATGGATAAGCCCAGTTGATTTCCTGTAGTAAGCTTATGTGGTCTGATTCACAAACAAAATGTTACCATATCTTTTCAATTTGTTCAAATATGAGTATAAGCCTCTCTTTTTTATTTTTTAAAATTCCATGTAGGTTGTGAGGAAGGTATGATTGATGCATAGTTAACATTCTTCAAGGATATTTCACGGCATTTGGCTTTACTTTTTCAGCTTGGAGGTGATCTAGAGACTTACCCTTTGGAAATACCTGTTTGGATTTTGAGCACACATTATTCCTGGGAAATTACGTCACCATTACAAATGTGTTGCGGTGACCGGAAATAGATGAAAGGCTCATCCTACATACTCACAGTCTCTGGAATTCAGGTTCACAGGCACTTAGGGAACTAGGGTTATGTGCCCAACACAGGACAGAGAATTAAGGACACTGTAAATGTAAAACAGTTACTCTGTTCCAATTCAATGGTGAACTTTTGCATGGCTCTGACCCTTGTAAAGTGTTGACCCTTGTAAACATACCTATTGTAGTACCAAGTGAATGTCCAATGAAATACAACTTCTCTTGACCAGTTTTGTTTACAATGAAGTCTATTATTCCTGGGAGATCATATTTGGCCATTTCATCAAAGCTGAAAAATAAAACAGGGACTTATAAATATTCCCAACTAAGTTCAAAACTCAGAGCACTTGCTTGTTTATTTTTTACACACAGAATTCTGTGCTGTCCACTTACATGGTTTGTATTTCATTATTTATTCAGTTACATATAGGCTATTGTAGCTTTTCTTTGCTGCACTTATATGTGTTACTTTCTAATAACAGGAATGATTTTGAGACTTGTGTAAACTACATTATCTGAAGTTTAATCTTGTCATTCTTCCTTTTCGTTCCCTTCTCTTGCATTTCTTTTGCTGTCCTTTCCCTACCTAGTTTGCATGCCTCTACTTCAGTCTCTGCCAGGGAACTTCAAGACTCTTAGGGCCACTTAATACCCGGCTTTGGAAACAGAACTGGTTGTAAATCATGATTCTACCATGTACTAGCTGAGTAACTTTTCATAAGTTACTTAAATGCTCTGAGCTTAAGTTTCCTTATCTGTGAAATGAACATGACAATACTATACGGCAGGGCTGCTATAGGGGTTGGATAGTATTAAAGGAATGACTCTGGCTGCTATTAGACACTCAGTCAGATGTTACTATTATTAATATTTCTGTCCATATAGAGATATATTCAATATATACCAAAATCCTATAGTACCAGTTCGACCAACATTAATGCAAGAGAACAAAAAAGGCCTAAATAACATATAGTAGAATTAGGTACCTCAGGAACTAAGGGCCTGCTTATTAGAAGAACATGAGAGGAAATATAGATTGGTACTCACCAGTATAAGAGAATGGTTGTGATGCCTTATAGTAAATAAGCTCCAAGCTCCCAGCCAAGGACCAACCACACAAAATATTTCCCAATTCTTGTCCTGGGGCAAAAGGTCTGACCCTAACAATTTCATCTATTCTTTCTTTCCTTCCAACTTGTCAGTGGGTACTGAATATTTCATTAATGCGGTTTTGCTCTAGCAGCAGGCTTTAAACCAACAGGGAGTTTAAGCCTGAGAAAGGAGGTCCACTGTTGGCATCAGCCTGTCCTTTGGTGACAGCAGAAAGCACTTCCATTAAAAGAAGCAGTCAGCACATCAAAAGATTCTTTTCTATTGCCTATTAACAAGGTTAACAAGGTTTTGTTTTCCTGAAAATGGTATTCTATACATTCTCAACCACAGTTTCTGTAGGTAAAATATGGCACTGATACACATCTTCTTTGCAAAACTGATTGGCTGTCCAAGAGAAAAAACTTGTAATAGCATCACTAGGATAAACATAAGCTTCATGAGGGCAGAGACTTTGTTCACTCTTGAATGCTCAGGGCCTAGAACAGTGCATAGAGTAGGCACTCAATAAACATTGGTTGAATGAGTGCATACTTTGGTCACAGGAATTTCCTAAGCTGTCCCTTGGGACATACTTATAATGTATAGTATTGGATAGAATTGTATGTTAAAATGACCCTGTTGAAATGATATAATTCGCTTGTGGGAGAATCAATGGAAATCAGAGCTTCTTGCTATTTATTTCCTTCGAGATGTTAATAGAAATTACAAGGAGCTGTGTGACTCCAAGTATCATACATTATTGTTAATACCACCCACACTATTATATTTAAAGGACTTGTCTCAAATTGCCTTCATGAACTTTCATAGATATAGTTTACCTAAAGGCCCAGAATTCCTCTTCATTCACTGAGAGTGTTTTGTGTCTCCTTGACCAAGTGTTGCCCCGACTGTTTCCCATCCATACATCGTAACCTGCATCTGCTAGAAGGAATCCAAGGCTGCCATTGGAGTAATTCTCAAGCCAGGAGGCACTGTCTGCAAACAGAGCATGCTGCAAGTATACAACTGGCTGGGCACCTGGAAGGAGGGAGGAAGGAAGAGAGAGAAATTTATAATAAATAGAGCATCTCGGGAACATGATAGAAACACACACACACACACACACACACACACACACACACACACTGGGAAAAGCAAAAACCAAAAACAGCATTCACTTTTCCCCTTGTCATTAGTGTAGAGTGCTATAATCACATAACAAGTTTTTTGAGCACATACTTTGTACCTGGTGTTGTGCTGATTGGTTGACATGCATGAGCTTATTAAATTCTTACAATAACTCTATAAAGTAGGTCCTACTTTGAGGATCCTCATTTTATACATGTGGAGACTTAAGGTAGTTAAGTAACTTTCCTAAGGGGTCATTCAGCTAATAAGGTACATGGGTAGGACTCAAGCCTGGTTCTGCTTCGTGCCAAAGCGTGTGCTTGTAACTGCTCTGCACTATGTATTCACTTTTACATATCTCCTGGGCTTAACTTACAGAGACATGAAGATGCTCATGTTTGATGGAGTCTTATGCCTCCTCCAGGAGGAGGGGCAGGTGAGCATAAATGTACAATGACTATTTCCTCACCAAACTTCCAGTCAAACCCCCAGCCTCTGCCCCCTGAAGAGTATTTGAAAACTATGGCAGTAAAATCAGCTCAGCGCCCTCTTGTGAACTCTCAAGTTTCTGAGGAAAAGAACCAGGATGGAAGATTCTATAACTTAGTAGTTAAGAGCACAGGCTCTGGAGTCCGGCTTTCTGGGTTTGAATTCTGGTTCTGTCATTTGCCATTGTGTGACTTGGAGCCTATTACATAACCTGTTTTACCTCAGTTTCATGATCTGCAAAATGGTAACTCTTAATAGTGCCAACTTCATAGGGTTTCTGGGAGGTTTAATTCATTTAATTCATTTAAAGCATTTAGAAAGATACACCTAATAAATGTCTTTTAACTCCAAATCTTCCCCAAATTCTCCCTCCTTAAGTAAAGCCTTTCTTGTAAAAGTTTTCTCCTTTTATGTTTCACAGCACCTTCCTACCCCACCCCTCGCCGTGCCTAATATTGCAAGATTTAGCAAAAACCAAAACAAAGATAAACAAAACAACCCAGGATGCCCTGTTAAACTTGAATTTCAGATTAACAATGAATAACTTTGTCATATAAGTACGTCGTAAAGTGAGATTTGCACGAAAAACTCATCTGCTGTTTATCAGAAATTCAACTTTAACTGGGCATCTCATATTTTAGATAGTAATCCTACCCATGTCCCACTCGCAGTTTTTATTGTGAAACTCTTGAATTCTTGAACTACATGACTTTAGCTGCCTCTGAATGTGGATGGGAGATGAGGTGATTCATGGTAAATGGTCTCATTTACCATGAATCATCTCGTGGTAAATGATTTGGTAGGTAAAGGCCACTGGGCCTTTGCAGATATTTTGCTTGCTCTTCTCTCTCCCTCCTCAGGGACTTGGCAGTTATATTTACCCCCCCCTTTTTTTTTTTTTGCGGTACGCGGACCTGTCACTGCTGTGGCCTCTCTCGCCGCGGAGCACAGGCTCCGGACGCACAGGCTCAGCAGCCATGGCTCACGGTCCCAGCCGCTCGGCGGCACGCAGGATCCTCCCGGACCGGGGCACGAACCCGCGTCCCCTGCATCGGCAGGCAGACTCTCAACCACTGCACCACCAGGGAAGCCCTATATTTCCCCTTTTAAAGAGTGTAATTCATCTGCTTTTGCATGGCTCGTTCCTCATTCTAGAATGGAGCCTTAGTGACCCCATGCTCTTTCATTGCATAAACTGTCTGTTCGTCAGGTCAAAGCATACATGAATGTTAAAGTTTTCCTTCCTGGAAAAAGTTTCAGAAATGCCACTGTCATTTAATTGGGTTTTTTTTATCCTGCAGAGGGAGGTCTGTTGATTCTAGAGGGGGCAGGAGAGACTCTTTTGGGATACCCTGCAGCCAGCTTCATACAACCCAGCCAATCTCTTTCCAACAGTGAGGAAATCCACTATTCGGAATACAGCAATTTTCCACATGAGAAATCAGTAATGAGCTAACAAAATGTAGGCTCCACCTCTGCATTTACTCCCTAAGAAGAAAGCCTGGCGGCAGTCAAGAAGATCAGTCTTGCTCTTTGTAATTGTAGGTTCTTGCCTGTCTTCAGAGAATTGGAAAAGAATGAGACTCCCTGTTAACAATGTAAAGACTAATCCAAAATTCAAACCAATTTTGATAAATCAGTCATTGTCTTAATGAACAGCCAGCAATAAACTTTAGTCATATGCAATTCTCCTTCTCAGGAGAGACACATCTTCTACCTGTGCTCCTATTGTCTCTTCGTCCATGGGGAATTCTGTTGACACTGAGTATGTACCCATCTTGAGTGGTGACTTCGTACTCCTCACTGGGGTAGCCATTGTAGGTGATGATTTCACTCTGCCCAGTAAAAATATGAGCGTTAGCTAAACATCTTCTCTAACGGTTATCGAAAGGAACTAGAAAAAAGCAACTAGTGTGTGCTTTTTGGGGTAAATTATCTGAAATCTGTAGCCCCAGGTAACTGTAAAATTAATTTACTGCATAAAGTCTTGATAGAAAAATAAGTAGACTATTAGAAAATGTCTGCTAGTGTAAATTTTGGGGGGGTTGGAGATAATATCTAGCATTGACCCACTCTTCTGACAAAACTATATTCTCAAGTCATTTGTCTTTTTTTTTAAAGTATACATATATATATTTGAATGAAGTATAGTTGATTTACAAAGTTGTGTTAGTTTCTGGTGTATAGCAAAGTAATTCAGTTTTATATATATATATACACACACATATATGTATTATATATATTCTTTTTCATATTCTTTTCCATTATGGTTTATTACAGGATATTGAATATAGTTCCCTGTGCTAGACAATAGAACCTTGTTGTTTATCCATTCTATATGTAATAGTTTGCATCTGCTAGTCCCAAACCCTCCCCTGCCCCACCCCCCAGCAACCACAAGTCTGTTCTCTACGTCTGTGAGTTTGTTTCTGTTTTGTAGATAAGTTCATTTGTGTCATATTTTAGATTCCACATATAAGTGACATCATATGGTATTTGTCCTTCTCTTTCTGACTTACTTCACTTAGTATGATAATCTCTATGTCCATCAATGTAGCTGCAAATGGCATTATTTTATTCTTTTTTATGGCTGAGTAAAATTCCATTGTGTGTGTGTGTGTGTGTGTGTGTATGTGTGTGTATATATATATATACCACTTTTTTTTAACTTTTTGTTTTATATTGGAGTATAGTTGATTAACAATGTTGTGTTCGTTTCAGGTATAGGACAAAGTGATTAAGTTATACATAAATATGTGTCAATTGTCTTTTGAGACCCCTCTTGGTTTAAAGATAATAAAACCATAGTCCAGTAGAGGGCAGTCATATATATGATCCAGAGGGCTTAAAATAGAAATTCTTAATATTCTTAAAAATGTAAATTCAAAAGAGGAAGTTATCTATAAAAAATATAATTCTGCTTTATATTCCTAGAAAGTATTACTTATTCAGCCAAAAAAGAAGATATACCTAGCTTAACTCTTGGAGAACTGTTAAAAATCACCCATGTTTTATGTTTTCTTATCAGAGATTTTTCTGCCATACAGGAATTTTAATATCTCACAATCAATTAATCTGCTTTATTTGATGGTCTTTGGAACTTTCCATCACTTACAATATTCATCCACACTTCAGGATTTGCTTCTTTCTCCAAATTAAAGAATCCGCCGGCATTTAAAGTTCCACAAATCAAATAGGTTGTTGTTAAAAACAGCCACATCACGCGAATGCCTGGCGTAAAACATTTAATAACCACAGATTAATGTCATATGTCAAAGTTGATTCACGAAATTAAAATAGCCCCCTAATGAAAACCTGACTAACATCCTGAGAAAGCTGAGACAGTGTGGAAGGGAGTAAATACAGTGAGCTAACTCCGAGCACTATTCATCTATTTTTTTCACATAGAAATTGCCCTGACATAGTCCACTTCCAGAAATGAAATGAATTCAATCTAGTATGAAGACTTATTTTTTGTTTTATTTTAATCCAAGCTTTTCAATTAATTTAAATCTTTACTCACCTGTGAGTTGCCAGAACACATAAAGATTCAGAGGACAAGTTTCCATACCATGGCAAAGCTAAAAGTGGAGTTATCCTCTAGTCTCATCCAGCAACCCACCAAAAAAACAAGAGCAATGAACAAGGAAGCTTCAAACAGACAGGCTTATGATCAGTTTTAAGTGATGTGATTATTTTTCTTGTGGACACCCAAAGGCAAATTTGGCACATTTAAATGTCCATTGTCTCTTCCTTGGCACGGCTTAAAAGCATGTCTCCTCAAACCAGCCTGACCACAATCGCAAGGCAGATTACTCATCATAGGGGAGTTGCAGTCCAATGGCCTGAGTTCGAAGTCCAGCCTCACCATGAACAAGATTTCTGACCTTGGGTAAGTTATTCAGTAGCTTTGTCTCCTGGTTTTCTTGCTGGTAGCATTAGGATAATAATGTAACTTACCTTATAGGGCTGTAGGGAGGATTAAGCGACACACAAAGCACTAAGCCCAGTGTGAGCTTTCACTATATTTTTAAAATCTAAAAACGAACAAGAGAATAACATCAGAGAGGCTTTACTGTAACAAATTAATGACAGACTTCTAGAAATTCAGAATTTACTTTTGAAGTTAAATAGCTTTCCATAAATTTGCTATCTGGATGAAGATGATTTTACTTTTGTAAATGTTATATAATTAAAAACATTTAGAAACTAATAACTATTGAGGGTTTAGCTTGTGTCAGACACTGTTCTAAATGCTTCACATTGTGTTATTTAAACCTCAGAGAAACGCCATAAAGCAGCTACTGTTATCATTCTCGTTTTTGTCAATGAAATTAACAAAGGCTTAGAGAGATGAAAGATCTGCCCAAGGTTACAGAACAGAGAGGTGATAGAACTAGGACAGGAACAAAGGCAGCCTCAGCACAGAGCCCTTACACCTGGCTACCACTCCCAACCCGTCTCCCGATTGTGATACATTTTGGTCTTACCTAGTTATGTGAGCTTCTCTTGTTCCTGAGGACTCTTAGTGATGAAGAACTTCTGAACTTTTGCATGTGACAAAATGAAGAATGAGATACGATTGCAGATAGAAACCAGAGACATGAGAGACAGGAAGCCCATGGAAGTGAAGAAACCCTGGACAGTGACACACGCCGAGGGACAAATAACCAGTTTGACTAAATCCTCCACGTTTCCACTGAGCATCTGTCACCGTTGGGAGGGTTCAGCCACATTTTCAAAACAAGGTGTCAAAAGTGGAAGTATGTGCTCAGTATCCTAAGACAAAATCAGAGTTAACAATATCTATCTTCTCAACACCAGAGTTCATTATGAGAGTTAACTGAAGCAATGTTTGTGAAACTACTGATGTCAACCATGTAATGTGCAGGAAAGTGATTGATTATAACTCCGTTGAGAAGTTGAGGCCAGCCTGACTCACTTTTGAGGCCAAAAAGGGTTTGGAACTAGCAGAGGAAACAAAATCCTTAGGCCAAAGGGACCTGAGGAGAATGAAGACATTTTAGCTCTAAATGTTGCCAACGAATTCTGGCTCCCTGTGCACTGATGCCGAATAGAAATATGGAGACAGAGATTTGGAGGATAAGAAATAAAGAGGCTTTTTATTTTCCTTGCCAGGCAAAGGGAAGACACAGTAGGCTAGCACCTCAAGAACTGTGCCCCCCTTTCCTGTGGAATTACAGGGATTCTTATAGGGAAGTTCTCAGTCCGAAGTGAGTGATAAGGATCAAAATGGTGAACGTCTAGCAGTCTTCTTCTTCTTGCATTATTTCAAAACAGTCACTGCTGGAGTCGGGCAACCCAGTAATTGGGTCCGGTAGTCTCTGGGTTAACAGTCTGAGACCTCCTTTCTGAAATGCAAACAGCTACAAGGGGTGATTTGCTACAAGAGATTACAGGGGGAGCAAATACCAGGGGCAGAATGTAAATTGCCTAAATTACACAGGATTGGAGGTGACAGGTTAGCTTTGTGAAGGACAAATCTAACTACAGACGCTACAGATTAGTAACAGTTAAAACTAGGATTGATTACCTCAGGCCAGTTTATGTTTCTTCTCTAGCCTGTTCACTGGTCCCTTTATTTTCCTTGTTCTCAGGAGAGGGAAAACTTCATTTCTATTTTTTGCTGCAACATAAGCTCCACCAGAAATACTGGATAATGGAGGCAGAAATGCCACCATTTTCTACTTCACAATTTTTTTGCGGTACACGGGCTTCTCACTGTTGTGGCCTCTCCCATTGCAGAGCACAGGCTCCAGACGCGCAGGCTCAGCGGCCATGGCCCACGGGCCCAGCCGCTCCGCGGCATGTGGGATCCTCCTGGACCGGGGTACGAATCCGCGTCCCCTTCATCGGCAAGCGGACTCTCAACCACTGCGCCACCAGGGAAAGCCCTCTACTTCACTTTTTATGCCGGTAAAGCCCAAGGAGTAACTGAATCTCTTTCATCTCCCAGTGGGAAGAAGGGTCAGTTGCTACCCAGCATGAAGAAGTTTCAGTTCTATTAGTTTGGACTCAACCCCTTTCAAAAACAAACATTCATGTATGTCCAAATCCTAAGATCGGTTCCACTTGAGCCAATTAAACAAATATGGAGTGAAAGGAAGCATGCAGCTTGCTGGGATAGGTGGAAAGCTTATGTACCAGTCCAAACTCATTCAGTCCTTTTGATGAAAGACGAACCACGCTTTGCCCTGAATGACAATGCGCAAAGGTATGTGTCAATGGCAGAGAGGTGTGGACTTGCCTGGATCCTCTCATGGGTGAGGACTTTAAAAACAATCCCTTCTAAGAAAATTTCAGTGGACTCTTTGGAGAGTTCTAGGGAGCACAATGTGAAGATTATTAATGTTGCTTTGTTGTCATGACTTTATGTGGAAATAGAATGACTATAGTTAAACTTCTCAGGGCTTTATGGATTGTAGACTAGCTTAAAACTCAGAAGAATTTCTACACCATTGTCTTCTCATATTCTTACTCAACTTTGAGGTTTATCTAAATAATCTGGAGAATTCTTTCAATCTGTTTTCTTGTACAGACACAAAGTTGTCTCAAATAAATGAAGCTAGTCTTTTCCAAATGCTTTCGTCATTCTTCTTATGTAACCTTGCTATTTGAATAAGTATTCAATATGTTGAAATGAATTAAAACAAAAGACATTGAAACTTCTTCCTTCGTGCTGCAAAATGTAAAATGATAACTCCTATTCTCTAGAGGGTCAAATTTTCCCTGCTTTTTTTTCTTTTTCATAAAACTAGATGATATTAGAACTGGAAAGGGATCTTGAGCAAAATGTAGATTAAGGGACAACCTTTCAGAAGGCCTGTGGTATTTCTGATATCTTGACCCAAGGATCATATCACAAATTGTTAATGGTGGCTGCCCAGTTCATTATCAAGATGGCTGAAAATAGACTGTTGAACATAGATCTTTGAACTTGGTGTCTTATTTATGAAAATGATTGTTATTTTCTTTCCAATGCTCTAATTCAAAATACATTTGCTATTACAATGTCTCATTTTTTTGTTTACTAGTTTGCTTCTTTCTCCCCAAAGACTGCTTTTCCTTAACACATGACTTTGTATCAAAAGGGGCATAATTTCCCCTTGAAAACAATGTAAAGTTAAAAAGATTAGGCTATAACCAACAAAATAGAAACTAAGGAGAATTTTGGAAAAGAAATAATTTAAAATCTTACACCTTTGAGACAGATTTTGCCCTGAGTAAAATACCTTGCATGAACAGGAACATGGAACTTGTCACTTGCCCACTAGATAATTTATCTAATCCACTATGCATCCTAAAATTCAGACAGGGCTCAAGAAAGCCATAAGTGGTGTGTTTGTGTGTGTGTGTGTGTGTGTGAGTGTGTGTGTATGTGTGTGTAAAATGATAGATTAGCACACTTTGGCTTTAGAAAAGGCACTTTAAATTACATTTAAAAATTTTGTTTACTCATAAAGCAAGGTTGGCAGTGTTTATGATATCTATAAGAAATGATGTTTGTTTTTCAGATTACCTACTAGAGTATAGAACATGTTCTCTTCAGGGTTGGTGTCAATGAATCCCCATTTCAGCTCCACTTTATTACACCCGCCTTCAAACACAGTATGGCTATGACAAAGAGGCACAGAGAGAAATGACAAAGTTCTGTCTGTCATAAATGACTGAAATATTAAGGTTTTTGAAAAGAGGCAGTAATAAGCTAATCCAGTGTACACCCGTCACAATCCAAAATGCTCAAAGGAAAGATCACTTACATTTAAAGAGAAGTTAATACCAAAAGCCAAAAGTTCAGGAGGTTGTCTTTAAGGACATCCAGGTCCTGGAGTGGCAGGATCAGAACTTAATTGGTGGCCAAAGTCAAAGCTTGTGAGAATGGAGAGGAAGGGTAATACAACTGAATAGAAGGAAATTTATACCATCCATTCCTCCAAGTAGGTTTAACTGCTTACTTAATGTGCACAGTTTATGTATGGTATGCTCTACAGCTCATTTTGTATTTGAATTCCTGTAGGACGTATATTCAAATAGAGATTTTCTTTTTAAACACACAGAGAATGCTTACCGAAAATTCCAATTGAATCTAGTTTTATATATATTAATAGTTTCATCAATTTATGTAGGTAAATAAATGATGATTAGAGTATGTAAAAAGGTAACACTGGCTATTTTGATATATGCTCCTGTTTCTTTCCTGAATTTTTATTTGGTTAAATTACAGTTAAATCACCTCAAATGCCCCCAGCACTACTGAAAAATGGGTAAATGGCTTTTAATATCATAGTATCTGTGTTTCATCCTTTTCCTAATCACCATCAACATCAAAAATTTGCTGAGTAAATAAATGAATTAGTGGATGAATCTAGGCGTCCAGAGAATATTGCTTAGTTACTGAGGAATATGATAAAGTTATTACTAACAATTCTTAATTATTTATTGAGTATTTACTTCACGTCAGATGTTTTACTTTGAGACACTGCCAGCTTGGCTGCAAATTCTACTAGGTCTCTTTCCTTTTAATTATGTTTCAAAGGACATTTTTCTTAACATCAATATATAATAGTTAATAGTAATTTAA